CAAAAGTAGCCCCCCTCCAGAAGGAAGGACAGTGTCAGCACCAATTCAGAGATGATTTGAGGATCTACAGCTGAGTGATACATAAATTAGGTCCATTTTTGTTAATAGATAAGGTACTTGAATGTATTCCTCAGGTTTAACTTCCGAGTTTAGTGTCACTTTTAGATTAGGAATGCTTTATTGACGGAACACACTGAAACCACAACACAATTTATTTTCCACTTATGGTTTATTTTGTACCTCATTCATGTTCAGAATACTCTTGTCGGCAAACAGTTAGTAGCTTGTACAAATTACGTCTCTCTCCCCAAATTACTGAAAACAGCAATTATCAATCCACCGGAGAGTGTTTCAAATGTCACTTGAAACGCGTACAGCTTTTTGGAGTATTTTGGTCTTTGTCATGATTTCTCCTACCAACCTGCTCACTGGAGTTGGTGGAAATGGTAACCGATCAGCACAGATGCATTAACACGTATATAATATGTATAAAAGAAAACCACAATATTATGGCCATAAACATGTACAAGCAAAAAATCAGTAGATACATAAAGGCATATTTTAAGTGGAACTGATTTTTTCCCAATAAGGGCTCCCTACACCATCCTTACCACATTAGCACTGGAAAGTACAGACCTCTTATCAGATGATCTATAAACAGTTTAGTTTACAGCTCTTCCTCCTGTCTGGTTGGGCAGGGTACCACAAATGTCTTTGGTGGCTAACATGCACCCTGGGGTCCTAATGTGGGCCTTAGCTGCACAGTGAGCCGTGGGAGAATTGATTTGTAAAGAGATTGTGGTAGCTGTGATCTCTAGCAGTCTAATGTAGCACATCCCCAGTCACTCACTGTAACCTTTAGCATGTATTCAGTCTTCAACTACACCTGCAGCATGTCTCCAGTCTCTGGGAGTTTTTGGTAGCATTACATATACAGAATGATGTGCAGCCACAGTACAGGCCCATATAGCTTAGTACAAACACCAGTGGTTGTCAATGTACAGTCGGCTGCCTCAACTTCAATGTAGACCCGAGTATGTACTGACCAAGGGGTAGCTCTCTGCAGTCTTTTTATTACTAATGGTGGTAAGCAGGGTAAATATGGGGGGTGGTTAAATACATAATTTAGTTCCACCTCATTAAGGTAAGAAGAATTGCAATGGCAATGTGCAGTAATCCCCAGCAACCCATCCGATTCAGTTCACTGTATTTCAGTAGAGCCTGAAACATGGTTGCTATTGGTTAATACACTTTGCTAGTCATTGACCTTCCCTCTCCCTTATAGAAAAACCTGATACTATCATAAGAGGTAAAACCTCTAGTACACTGTAATGATAGTTTTTTTTAAACAATACAGACTAGCAACAAATGGAGGAAGGTTTTCTTTTGCTTGGGTGTGTTCTGTGGTCACTTAAATTATGAGACAATCAATGCGAAAAAGCATTAGGAAAAACAACGTCACATGCGTTCTGCATTATGAGTATATGCACAGGCCTTTTCAGTAGGAAGAAGCAGCAAAGAGCTACAAGGATGCAGAAAGCCACAACATCCAGAGTTCTGTAAACTCAGTGCCAGGGAGATTGCTACATACTGATGAAACACAAACTGTTTTACTGCCAAAGAAATTGCAATTCTGTTTAGCCAGTCTTATGATCAGTGATGTCTTTCCTGCCAGATGGTACAGCTAGGTCAGTCACCTCACTTTTCCCTTTTGACGTAAGCAGGAACCTCCCCAGCTAGACATATGGAAGCGGCTACTCAGACTTGTAGTCAAAAGGTGCAAGCTCTACACCATCATCACCAGTTGAAGATTTAATGACCTGGAATTAGCATGCATATGACACAGGCATGATAACAGGTTCCCATTACACAATGCAGCTTGGTAAAAGTACCCTCCCCCTGCCTTCTGATTGGATAATGAAAGAGTAGCAGCATGCAGTTGAGATTAACCCTATGCTTTCCCCCCTTTAAGCATTTTAAACAGTGTAAGTGCTGTACAAAGAAATAAAAAGATGGATTCAGGAACATATCCGACCAGTATTTAAAAAATTTGAATTATTATTTTTTTATGAATACATAGCTAGGCGTAATGGTGTTTTTGTTTTTAATATACAGTATAGCTACATGGAGTTCAGCTTTGAATGGCATCTATATCCATATCTGGTAGCATATATGTTTGGCATGAAACATATCATCTCTTCCTGGAGCCCTTTTCTTGAGGTGTGAAAGTTCACACAATACAAAACACTGAAGGGGTCGGGGCCCACCAGCAAAGCTGTGACAGTGCTGGAGGTGGGACATAATGTTTTTGCAGGCACGTCTTCGATACTGTAAATTAATCAATAACGCAAACTAGAAGAAGAGCAGTTAAATTTGTCTAAAAGACATGAGGATAATTTTTTGGGACATAACTATAAAACAGTGAATGTAACTTTCACTAGTAGGAAGTCTACCACGGTCATGTAAAACACCAGGAAGAGTCACCTGCAGTGAATATTTGATGAATGTCAGATCAACCGCTTTATAAATTTGCCCCAGTGTCCGTCCGTCCATCCAAAAGTGATATTTTAGGAATAAATGGAGCCAGTGGCGTCACAAGGGGGGTGCGGCTCGCACCTGGGTGACACCAAAATGACTCACAGTCATTTTGGTGTCACCCCACTCTGAAAAGTCGGGTGACTGTCCCCTCCTCTTCAAGATGGCCGCCGGCAGGTATCAGAATACTGTGACGTCACAACGCGCGTGCGCGATGACGTAATCGCACACGCGCAGTGACGTCTCGGCGGGGTGATACTCGGTTATCACTCCGGGTGTCACCCAGCCTCGGGACCACCCTGAATGGAGCAGGTGTACAGACCCTGTAACAGCAACCACAGAGTCCCCAAGAGTCATAAGAAATTAGCAGGTGATTTACAGCCGAAGTAAAGTTAGAAATATTGAGAGGAAAAAAAAAATTGCTGGGAGGTAAAAATGGTAAGCATAAGAGACGTTCAAAGTCTCATCTCCGGAAAAATGATTAGTCTCTCCCCCATTAATTATTTTGTTTCTGCGTACACTATACGGCAATTGCGCTGTGCAGTATCAATGCCCAGCCCATTTACAGCAGCTCTAGGGCTCCGCTCACACCTAGGCATTTTGAAACTCAAAAGGTAAGCGTGACAAAATGCTCAATACAAGGATTCCTTCTCATTTCTATGGCCCCTGTTTAAACCGGAGTGTTTTGTCATGCATTTTGTTGCACAAAGTTTGCCACTGAAATCTATGGAACCAAAACAGTGCTGTTATCTACCATAAAGTAGCTCATGCACTTTTTCCAGCGACAGGTGTTTTTCTGTTTGCAACAAAACGGCCATGTGTGAACAGGGGCCATAGAGATGAATCGAATTCCTTGACTTGAGCTTTTTGTTGCGCTTACCTTTGAGTGACAAAATGCATAGGTTTGAAGAGGGACTAAGATGCCGTGAATGGGCTCCTGTGCGCCCATCAATGGCCGAAGGGGACTTCTGGGAACCAAGAACTGTAGGCGGTGGAGATGGTTGCAGCAGACAGAGCTGAGGACCAAATAAAGATCCAACATAGCTGGAGAAGTGCACACTTGTAAGGCAAGTGTGCTCTAATGTGCTGTGCATGCTTGTACCAACAGAAAACTTACAAAGCGATTTACTTCTGCTTTAATTCTGCCATCTACCTAAAACGAAAATATCGATATTGTGTGGATGAGCCTTTAATGACTGTCAAGCCAGAGAAGAGGCAGAACATTCAAAAAAACATTAGTGGTTGTTTTAATTGTACTGTGTCAGATGACTAACGAACATATAAAGACAATAGGAAAAAAATTTCGAGGTTTCCTTTTTGTTTAGTTATCCTGGATGTTGGCTGTTGCACAACTTCCACAAAAATCTCAGGAACTAGCTTTCACAAAGTCATAAATCAATGAAAATGTTAAATCATGTCAAAGCAACTCATCAGAGGGGATTTCAGGTGACTGAATTGTTACGATCGTTTGTGTGTTATTAAAATGCAGACGCTCGAACAACTGACTCTGAATTCCCATATCTGCAGCATCCCTCTCATGTCTACATCCACTATAGGAAAAGTTTGCCTCAGCACTAGTAATTATGAAATTCACACTTTAATGTGACTATTAAAAAGCATGTTTTTCTGTATTCTAAGATAAATCTATGAATTTTCTGTTAATGTGCGTCTTGGACAGCATTGGCTACGGTTTATAAAATTATATTCTATTTATAGTTTGAAGGACACGTTTGCCTATTACATAAACCTGCTTTATAGGAAATCTGCAACCTCATTAGTGGTGCACAGTTCTAAGGCTTATCTGGCAAGTGAATTTCTTGCAGCAGCTGTTTAGCAGGGGTCCTAACTACACTGTCTAGCATACAGTGTAACCACAAAAATATGAACTATGATTGTTGAATTATCACAAGCATAGGAAAAATAAAATCACATATATTTTAACACCTCTAAATGATTACATCATAAAATGTAGATTAGTTTCCCTGTTACAGATATGTGTCGATTATGGGGTTGTTCTGGCTTTCTGCATTGTGCAAATCATCACTCTTGGCGCGGTTACTAAACAAGCTGAACAGATTACATGTGCACAACCAGCACCCCCTGTAGAAGTAGGACAACCCCATTGTGCCTTTCACATTATACACCTAAAATCAGAACGATTAGAAGCTGACTACAATTGGGGGCTTTTCGAAGTTAATGAATCCAGTACATATATATATATATATAACAGGCCAGAATAAATTGAAAATCTCTAATACCACACAACACATAATATTAATAATACAACCAGGTTTAAGGAGTGGAAGCGTTCAATAATCAGTTAAAGCAGGAGGCAAGAGAGAAGCGTTGAAGTCAAGCAGCATATAACAAAGTAAAAGTCTTTACGCCGCAGGTGGCGATTACCCTTCGTGGCTGTGTAGTACATTTGGTTGCCTGCTGTGAAATATCCTTGGTGCCTATGAAAGGCGATCCAATGTCACAATAGCAAGACAGGCTAATGATATGGGAATTCTCAGTCTTGTATCACACAAAAGACTAAGTGTCATCTTGTCAATGATTGGTTTCTCTTCTAGTGCCTTCTCCATGTTCTTGGGATGGATGCACCACAAAATATATTCATGTTCAGCACCAGGATCAGCCTCCAGATCTGTATTAAAGGTTATTGTAACACTTATTTTTTACTAAGACCGTTTGTTACTTTTCCTCTGCGGTTCTTTTTTCTGTGTGAGGATGGGAGACCCTCGCTGTGTTTCTGGGGCACTTCTGCTTCAAAAAGAAAAAAAACACCGTCGTGTTAGCAAATGGGTCATGAATTCTGAAATTCTAAATAGATAGCTTAGGGCTACCATTATGGCTACATGCATTGTGCCATTTTGTAGGGTTATATTTAGGGATGCACCGATACCGATATTAGTATCGGTGCCGAGTATTTGGGCGAGTACTCATACTCGCCCAAATGCTCCGATGCCTAGCCCGATACTTTCGGTATCAGGAACCCAGGCAGGGAGTCATTGCACGGTTTCCCGATTGGTCAGAAAGCCGGCTCCATGTTTTCTCGTCACCTAGTGACAAGAAGCATTGGGACCGCTTCCCTGCTAGTCAGGAAGCCAGATGGCGAGTCATTACACGCCACCTGGCTTCCTTAAATGGGACTTTCAGTATTCGGTATCCGCGAGTACCGAACAAAAAATATATCGGTACTCTTACTCGATATCGAAATACCAGTATCGGTGCATCCCTAGTTATATATGCGAGCTGTGGGCACTGCAGATGGTGTACTGATATTCTTGGGTTAGGAGAATCTGTTGACCCCTGCAGTGGCAAAAACGGGTGCAGGCGCCAGATTATTAATCATCAATAGGCCTGAAGACGAGGGAAAACGTATCTTCTCCAACACCAATAAAGTGATTATTATTCTTGAACCAGCTGGAGCTTCCAAGACTTCTTATTCACTCAAGGTGCTCCCCACCTACCACAACTTCTGCCACAAGTCTGGCCACCACTGACAAGGCCTAGCGCTACCTCACACACATACCTAATTTTCACTACTTACACAGCTCTTCACACCTGTCAATCATTGGACTGTCATTCTGTTAACAATGACAATGCTAAATGAAAACCAAAAATCACGAAATAGGGGGAAGCTGCAGAAGACTTTACAGTCTATAGTGAAAAGTGAAATATCAAAAAGGCAGTTTGAGAGGATCTAGGTATCAGATTCCATGCAGGCTGTGCATTCCACGTTCCTCTCCCATGAAGTACACTTCGCCAAAGTGCTGTGTACATCATATGAAAAACCAAATCTATAACAATAATTTACTTCTGCAATGACTCCCGTATGCTCCATGTATGGATATTTACAAACTCTCCCTTTTAGAAAAGTTGAATTGTGTATTCACAACACTGCCGGGTTATACTGCCATCTACAGGAGGATTGGATAGCGGCAAAGAACATTTTTTGTAGGCCAGCCCAGGATAACACCTTCTCTAGCCAGCTTGCCTGCGTTTGTAGCGAGTAGTACCAGGAGCGCGATCATAAATACAGAGTGATGGAACCTGTGCTCCTCAATGGACTCCAAGAAAAAGATTTTACAGCGAGTACAAAAATCCTATTCTTGTTGGTGCACCCATTGGAAACATTTCCTTCAACATCCTGGTTGTCAGAAAGCAACGGGTAACTCCTAAATAGGTACACAGACGGCAATATCAATCTGCAGAGACTCCAACCCTTTCTCTCCCTAATTAAAACAAAATATGTTTTGGATGGAGTTAGGCTTTAAGCATTAAAAGGTAGTATTCTCGTCCTGCAGATCTTGCTGGCTATTTATATGTGTTAAGCCCATACACCATATCGTCTGATTTTCGTATGCAATCGCATTTTCGTCCGATATTGGTAAGGTTGATGGGCAGTGTACAACCGCAAATAAGCCAAACTTTTGGCTAATCAGCAGGTTAGAAAACTTCGGTCAATCGTAGGATTTTCGCAAGGTTGGTGGCGTTTCCATACGTTAAAATTTGTACGATTTACACTGCTCATGCGCAAACGAAAATACGTGCGGTCGATTAGCACAATTTGTCCAGGTGCTTTTTTGTGATTACTGTTGATTGAACCTTGCGATAATCAGGGCAGGATTGAGCTGCCATATGAAAATCGTACGGCGGTTCGATCATCGGACGAAAAGTTTCGTATGGGCAGCTTAAATGTGCCAGGATCATTAAGTGAAAAATGTTTCTACTACAAATGCTGCAACTGGCTATGGATGTATGACTGTGTGCTTATTTAGTAAGATCATCCAAGTGTTATACCACAGAGCCACCGTGTGGACAACAGTGCATGCATTCCCTGAAATCACAATCTACTTACCAACTTTTTCTGCCTGCTGCCAGGGAATGTCTGTGTTATATGTGCTGTCATCACACTCTGAAAAAGTCTGCAAGAAAAACAGATACACTATTAAAGCAGCGGTGCAGCCGAGACCATGGTGTTGGTCATTCCACTCTGGAATTACATTATGCGTAATCACACTCAGGGTAATAAAGGTGTTGACAAAAACTCAGGAGCTTTAACACTTATAACATTTTTTTTTTTACAATCACAAAGAAAGGGGAAGCGTTCACAAAGACAATTTCAGGGCTTGTACACAATAAGACCAAAATAAAAAGCATGGCGTGTTCAAAGTGTGCACCATGCCTATTACAATGCCTGTTCACTGACACTTCTGCCCACATTTGCACCCCTTTTTTTATCCACTCAAGGGAGAGCCAAATACAGATAACTTTAAGTCTTGGTATACATGGGTTTGTTGGCATTACCTGCCTCTGGTTGGCCCACAGAGAGGCACTATCCTACCTGCAGCTGTCATGGAATTCTTTTGAGTAATGTTCACCAGGTACACACTTGTGCTGGGCTGTTTTGCTTAGTAACCCAAAAAGAATCTTTTTGCATGTTCTCAGATATTTCCAATCTGCTTGGCAAAACAATCACGCACAGGTATTGATATACAGTAAGTAATTGTGAAAGGAATGTCATGAGGGAATGTACTTATGCCTTTTCCTTCTAAAAATCCTACCTGTCTAGCTGTTAAATTAACCCTCTGGCTTCAATATACCCCGAGTTGCTAACCCAGAATGAATATATATATATAAGGCTATCAGGAAGGATGGAGAGTAGTCTTATGTGCATACTTGAACCAGGTCAGTGAATTATTTAAGTGTTTAGGTCCAGAGGGTTAGCAATGCAGCAAGCCAACTTGCATTTTCAGAAGAAGAAATCAGCAATGACAGTCCCATGCTTCTATAAAGGTTTCCTGCACAGGAAATAGCAGATCTCTGTACCAATAGGGAAGATGCAGTTACCTTCGGTCGTTGTCCACAGTGATTCGCATACCACACCATTCCATACAGGCAAAGGAACGTCGTAATCGCCTGCAAGTGACACAGGAGCACATCAATAGATTTTAAATCAGGGCTACGTCTATTCACATATGAGAAAAAAAAAATCCCCAGCAAGGTCACACAGAAAAGCTTTGCCTTAGAGATGTTTGAAAAGCGCCTTATAGTGACAACAGTGGGGGCTATTGATTGCCTGCTTAGGCCTCAAGCAGTTCACCGTGGGCAGGCGATATGACACATGCTTTCTCATACCCAGAAGAACTGGAATTATTAGGAAATGTTGTGATCAGAGCATCAGTGGGAAATATAAACACCAGACAAAAGTCCCCAGCACGGCCTTCAAAAAGTCCTTTGCAGCCATACTCACACACGCTGGAGCACGAGAGGGAGGTTGCAAGCAGAGTCATGTAACAAGAAACGAATTACCATAAATCAAATGGACTTTCTGACTTTAGCACACAGTCACAGCACTTCCTGGATTGCATTAGCAGTATATTGACTGAATACTTGCTGTCTGGTGTTTCACCTTTACTACAGAGACAAACACAGGGATCCATTTATAAAAGGAGTGGTATGGCTTTACTGCGGTCTTGCCATTGCTTTATAAGAAAAAAAGGAGCACAGCACATTTATAAAGCAGAGTGGTGTACGTTACAAATGTGCAATGCGTTCCGTTTGCTGCATGGCTCTAAGACTCCTCTAATGGTTAAGCAGACAGAAACTCTATGACATATTGCAGGTTCTACACCACGGCCTGCATTTTATGAATGAGCCATAAAATACAGGCCGTGGTGTGCACTATCATTGCAGAGTATAAAAATATGAAGGGGAGTAGAAGCAGTAGACACCGGACTACGTTCTTCCAATGATTAAAACACTTTGTAATCATATACCGTTTTCCTGTTAACATGGCAGTTTTACCATCTTAGCCTATGAAGAGTTGGACCTGACAGGCTGATCTGTCATTCAGCACCTCAGAACGTCACTGTATAAGGCTGCTGTAATGAGTCCACCTATAGAAAAGTTAGGTGTTGCAGAGGGTGGAGGGGTGATGCACTATGTGGGTGATGTTTCATTTGTGTGGAAAGTGGGTCCCAATGTTAAAAAATAACAAAACACCCAAAACGTAATTATTGTAAGAAAACCTGAGCAGAGTCACAGAGAAGTTGCCATTTCTGAAAAAACAAAACCAAAAACTAGTTGACTGACTGTTTCTGGCTTTAATAGTTTGAGCCACTGACTCAGAAACAAGCATGCAGCAAGCAAAGTCAGGGATGAATCAGAGCTCCTTATTTTCACACTTGTTCCATGTCAGAGACTATGAAAATAACATAGTCCTTGAATCACCAAAGCATCCAGACAACAAGCATTTTAAGATGGACGACAGCAATGGTAGTCTTTATATGCAGTGCTAACCTCACTTGGCCACCTACTTTATAGCAATGCTGTTTTCTTTGAAGAACTCCAGGAAATGTGTTTATTAACCCTTTCACTGCCAAGCCCTCCGGAACATTTTTCAAATCAGCTGGCCAAGCCATAATTTAATTTTCTGTAATTTTTTCCTATTGATTTGATTTTCAACTGCTGCGTTGAAATGATAGTTAGTTAGTTAGGATGCTAGTCCCCATTCATAAATTCTTGAATGAACAGGCTGTGATTTAGATCACAGCCTGTTCATTCATAACTGGGGACACATAGTACTATGTGTCCCCAGTTATTTACAAACACCGGAGTGATCAGACGATCACTCCGGTGTTTGCTCTGCACAGAGGGATCGTTAAATATCATTGATATTTAACGATCCCCCACTCGGCTACGCTACACGGATCGGAACACGGATCGGAACACCGCTCGGCCATCCTGAATTGCGGCCAGCCGCCGCTCGTTCCCGGGACCCCCCGGCCGGTGATTTTTTTACGGATCCCCGCTGCCACCGACCCTACAAACAGCGGGGGTCCATGAGTCATCAGCGGCTTGTGAGCCGCTGATGACAGCTATTAATTTAAAGGGGACAGTCTGCTGAACAGTTCTACTATAAGCTGATGGTCGCTAAAGCGACCATCAGCTTATAGTAGAACTGTAAATGCCAAGGACGTACGGCATACTGAGCTGGCCAGCTGGAAGCACTTTTGTAGCTCTGTATGCCGTACGTCCTTGGCAGTGAAAGGGTTAACCCTTGCAGTAGGGCTATCCCCGCACTGCAAGGGTTAACTGCTCGTTTGTGTCTAGGTTAAAAAAAACAAAGATATACTCACCCAAAGCTCTGAGCTTTGTTTACAAGTGATCTCGACAGTGTGGCCATAATCACTTGTAATACTGCAGGTCGCCCCCTCCCCCCGGAAGCCGTCAGCTCCAAATGCTACCATTACAGGAATATCACAAAAAAAAAAAAAGTGATAAAAAAACTATATTTAAAAAAAAACAAACAAAATAAGACAAGGTGATTAAAATAAGCACCTAGACATAAATGAGCGCTTAACCCTTGCAGTGCAGGGGTAGCCCCACACCAAGGGTTAATAATAATAAAAAAAAATCCTGGAGTTCTTCTTTAAGATCACAGGTGCCCTTTTAAAATGCAGCTATTAATTCAGAGAAGAAACTAATAGAGTTCAGAGTCTGCAGAGTTTCTTTATTCTAGAAACAATTTAGTTTATTAGCTGTGTAGGTGACAGGTTCTGTATTTAAATAAAAATAGAAATTCACTTACCACACAGAGAAGCCAGAATACCACATACAGCAGATGAGCTTTGGAGAAAAGGTCCTGACCAAACTTTATACATACTATCGCTTCAAGAAACGCAATGGCACTGCAGAAAAAGAAACACGGGTTAATAATATGCATCTTTTTCTTGTAAAAAAAATGTGACGTGACAATGACATAGGACAGTATCCCAATAAAACAACCATGCTACAATTGTACAAACCCCCCAAAAACTTTCATTCACTTTGTGTTATGAGTTTTAATCCGCGTCCTGCTCCAGCGCAAGGCGTGCGTCCTTGTAGCCAGAGGACAGGCAGGCGCATGAGGTCAAGAAGATGTAAGAGGTTTCCTGTCTGTGCTGTGTTCCACAAGGTTATAGAGTAGGCTTGAGCACAGGGGTATGGCCTTAAAGGAGAACTATGAGGTGAGTGCTTTTCACTCACCCCATAGTTCTAGCCGACCTGTGACAATGAGACTGTCACAGGTCGGCTCAGTAGATCGGGAGGTGAGCGAACACATAGTGGCTTTCGCTCACCTCTCGATCCTTTCACGGCTCTCTGCCGTGACAGGGGAGGGGCTGGATTCCCCCCTCCCCGATCTGCCAGCGCTGACTGGCGGAACGGACAGGGCGGGTACAGCTGGCTCTGCCTCTAGATAGGCAGAGCCAGCTGTCACTCACGCAGCTGGGCGGATCCAGACATAACTGTCGGGATCCGCTTCAGCTGCGGCGTCTCAGTATACCGCAAGCTACAGTTCGCGGTATACTGAGCTTAGGATGATGGGAGGACGCTAGTTTGTGTCTTAACCCCATAGTTCTCCTTTAATGACGACTACAGGAATGCCTTCCTGTAGATCCCATCAGAAAGCCAGGGACGCAAACTGATTACTCCAGCATGGATTTGCCTCCATGCTTGGCTTTGTCAGAATTTAGCAGATCTGGCAGGATCCCCATGTGTTTACCAGGACAAGACAGTACAGTGGTAGATGAAGCCACATGAATAAGAGAAAGAGCAAAAAAAAAAAAAAAAAAGCAAGCAATGTAAAACTGCAGCAATTTTAGAGTACAATTAAACCTTTGTTGTTTGCATACATCTACTGCTAGCAAACAGTACATATATGCAAAAACAAGAAAATAAAAAAAAGTTACCAAATAGGTAAAAACTTACCTGCATCGCTGCTGCTCCCTCCTGTCTGAAGATTCTCCAGCAGCCGTGAAGGATCATGGGGCGGGCGCATGCGCAGCAGAGATCTTCGGCCGGGAGAAGGAGGAGACACGGTGTAAGTCAATGCACGCAGCTGGCAGCGTGCACGCAGAGAGACACCATGGGACCCAAGGAATGTGCGCTGGAACAGAGACTGCCACCAACGCTGGTGGGACTCCTGAAAACTACTGGAAAGAAGATGATCGGATCAAGAGGTGTCAATGTAAGACCTTAAAGTGGAATGGGGGGGGAATGCAACTTTAAGGGTTACAAAGGATTAATGGTATAGTAGTATTTACAGGAAGGAAGATGCATGTCTTTATAGGGCCTGATGGGGCCCAGGCCCAATATGGGAATACTGCGTGTACCCAGGCCCCGGATTCCTCACAAAGCCACCGAGGCCCGGCCTCGGGGCGGCAGGGAGCAGAGCGGTGTGGAATCCCGATGCCCGGCAGGGAGCGGTGTGGAATCCCGATGCCCGGAATGTATGCGCCAGGCGGTAAGTTGCTTTCTACATTTAGTCCTGCTTTGGGAAGGCAGGACTAAATGTAGTGTGGGGAAGCCGCTTCTTCGTTTACAAGTGATGTACCGCAATTACTTGTAAAATGTGTACAGCCTGTCCGTCCTCCCCTCCTCCCACGCACCTACCTCTCTCCTCTGGTTCCGTCCTACATTTCAGGAGAAATGTATCTTTTTGTTGCCACAAATATAAAAACTGCTGATGGGTTACTTTGTGATAACCTCGGGGTCAAATCTGCCGCAGACTTTTTTTTACTTCTCTTCTGCTGAATCTGTACACTCTCTAGCTCAGGATATGAGAATCAACACAGACACAAAGGTGTGTGGTATCCGCTCAATATCAAAGATTTATTCAGTACAGTGTAACGATTATACAGAGTGAGCATGGCCCAATCATATCAGCATACCAACTGCTGCATACGAAATCGAAACTTTAGCTAGATAACAACGCACATTAATTTCATGTGAAATCACGTGTTTTCCAGTAACTCGAAACTCTCAAGGTTGTTACAGCTTAAACAAGTACTCTAACCTGAGACAAAGAAACTACTGCTAATGTAATACTCACTTTATCCCTTCAACTGCCATTTCCAGCAGAGATCATATAGCTGGCAATTGTTATTCAGTCTGGTTTCATTTCAGTCAGCCATAAGAGCCAAAAGTCATGTACAATACTGTGCGGGGATTTACAATGAACACTCTGGGACAGGAAGGTGTGACTGCCTGGGCTCTGAGGGAGTGGGTTCAATGATACTGGCCATCATTCAACCTGATGGAGCGTCGTCTAGCGGTGGAAAGGATTTTCCGCATGAAGGTGAGCATTATAAAACTTTATTTTTACTTTTGCTGGACATCTTTTCTTACAAACTAGAGGTTTTCATCTTAATATTTGGCCTCATACTGACTAACTTTTCATATTAACCCTTAGCCTGAACCTTGTTTAACCTAACACTTGAAGAAAATCTGTCACAAACCACACAACTCCTACTGAGCATGTATAATAAAAACCTTATAAAAACAGAGGATACTTTCATGTATAAACGATCAGTAAAACAGGATTTGCATGCCATGAGCATTCGGCAGGGCAGTACCGTTATATCTTTGGATAAGCCTCTCTTTATAATATCTTTTATGGCTTCTGGGTTTTGGTGCCCTAGTTGTCTGTGCCATAGATGGATACATTTGTTGTGTGGAATGGCTGTCTTGACTTGTTTGTCTGTGGTGATGAGTCTACATAGGTGTTGATCCAATTTTTCTTTTGCAAGGATTTCCCCATTGTTTCGGATTGTACATTCATCACCTCCTGAATTCAACTGTGAGACCGTTATTAGCAAGGGTTTCCACTGATAGAAGGCTTCCTTCTAGGTTTGGAACGTACACTACATTTTTCACGAGGATACTCTGCTTGTCCCCCTGAAGTTGTGATGCAGTTCAAGAATCCTTGACTGCTACCTTCCGCAGTTATACTTTGCCCGTTTGGTAGGAATACTTCGTCTTTTGCACTGAAATTATTTTCGGTGAAGATAATCTCTAGTCATGTGACGTCAATACACGCGTAGTATACTGTTCCGAGTCACTTTAAAAAGGTAGCGCTCCATGATGTGCCTGCAGTTGCCTTTGTAGCTGCCTTAGCTCTTTCTCTTGTAGGTGCCTCTCATTTTTACTGCTCGGCTTTCTAGATCAAATAGTCCTTTTTTCAGGTGACCAGTCTTTTTACAGCAAAAACACGCTCTGCTTTCTTTGTTTTGCACTTCCATGCATCTTAAGGGCTTTCTTGTTTTCTTCATTGTGCATATTTTCTTTCCTTCTGTCATATTCCTCAATTATTTTCCTTTGGCGTATTCTAGTGTTAGTTTTTGCTCAGGTCTGGTTTCTAGAGTGTTACTAAGAGCTCTGTATGACTCTGGAAAGCTGCATAGAAGTAATGCCACCATGTGGTTTTCTTTAATTTCCTCTTCAAATGCACGTAGTTCTACGATCTCCAGCATCACAATTGCATGTTCACGCATTTCCTGGCCTTTTTCTAGCCTCATCTTATATAACTTGCGTAGCAGATAAAGTTTACTGTTTAGGTTTGAACGCTTATTCAGTTTCAGTAATGCATTCTACATACCTTTAGCTGTAATCTCTCTTCTTATGTGGATGAGCTGGTAGTCTTCCACTAGCAGACTTATAATTGCTTTTGCTTGCCTGCTCTTCTTTTCGCCATTCCCCGGTGGGTCCATTAGTGGGTCTGTCTGTACTCGGGTACTTAGAAGATCTGTACAGAGATTATACTTGGGGAGTGTGCATGTATTGCACAAATTAACTTCCTAGGATTTTTTTTTTTTGCCTTGACATACACTTTTATCCCCAAAACGAATCCCTAGCCTTGAACCCTAGCACTAACTGCAGATCCATATTTATCTTGTTGGCCACTGAACGTATTGGGCCATCTCATGCCAAGAATGGAGCCAAAAGTTCCCTATTGTGCACTGGAGGTCTATCGTAGCAAATCTGAGCATATATGCTTTTCAATGTTTTGACTGTCAGAAACTTTTGCCCCGTCCAACCCTTGTATATGTAAATTATTTTCATTGGAATAGAGGCAGTTTGTTCGGTTCTATGGCTTTTCTCTTTTAGGAGGTGAAAAACAGAAGATGGGGATGAGAAGAAAACTCCATCATTGGCACAGACTTTTTATAAATAGATCTGTACAGCATAACAGAACAAGTCACTGCAAAAGGAAATCCCTGCCTGAGATTTAGAAGATAAGTACTCACCCAAACACCCAGCACTGGGTGCCAACTCTTTTGCATTGTGTATCTGTAAGATATGCATAGTATTGCCTATAAAACAAAAAAGTGAAAGACAATAAGCAAAACACTCTTTATATAAATCAAGGACACATGTCAGCATTACCAAATCATGTAATGGGCAAAACAATACCTCTTGCTTGCCCTAAAAAAAAATGCTAAAGTTGAAGTAAACCTAAACTTAGAGAAATATGGGGCCAACACTGCTGACACTACTTGCCTGGCTGTCTCTGAGTCACTGCCCTGGAACAAGTATATACAGTTAAGAAAGTCATAACTCCTGATTTGCATACTTGTTCCAGGTCTGTTCATCAAGTAATGAGGACAGGATCAACATGACAACCAGATGGCTAGTAACAACACCATCCACATTCTGTCAGTACAGCTACTAGCCTGGCAAACATACAAAGGATCCCAGAGTTCCACTGTGAAAATTAGGGATGCACAGATACCATTTTTTCTGTATTTTATACCGATTTTTCCCCCTTTACTCGCTGATACCAAATACCAATACCGGAAGTCCCATTAAGGAAGCCGAGCGGCATGTAATTACTCGTCGCCCAGTGTCCCGATTAGCCGGGAAGCCAGCTCAATGCTCCCTCGGCTGACTGACGAGGAAGCATGGAGCCAGCTTCCCGACCAATCAGGAAGCCAGGTGTCGAGCCATTACAACCAGGAAGCCCAGCTTCCTGATTGGTCAGGAAGCCGGTTCCATGCTCCCTCGTCACCAAGTGATTGGCCAGGAAGCTACTTCCATGCTCCCTGTGATGAGGGAGCATGGAGCTGGCTTCCTGATACCGGAAGTTCAGGTATCGGGATAAGCATCGGGAGCATTTGGGTGAGTACGAGTACTCGCCCAAATAATATTGGCACCGATACTAGTATCAGTTCATCCCTACTAAAAATAGTAAAAATTACATTTACAGGCAATATTTCATACTTTCTTGAATAAAAAAAAAAACTCAGATGTTCTGTACTTAAAATATAAATACATATCTAAACTACTAATTAGCAACTGTATAAAAATCAATATGATATTATAAATAATAAGTCACGTATGAAGTTTGGTCCTCCCATATGTTAGTCTTGTCTGCAGTTAACAGGTTGATCCAATTGTATATTTTTCATCAAACTTATTATTCCCTGTTTGATTACACAGCTGAGAGTGTGGAATCATTCAAGACCCGTCTAGATACCGAGATGACCTGTACCCTCGTATGTCTTCCTCTCTGAGAAAAGGAACTCAAAACACACACAACCACATGGGTGGAACTCGATGGACCTGTGTGTTTATTCAACCTTAACAACTATGCAACTATGTAAAATGGGACTTATGGTCATCCTCAACTGCATACGATGTGCCCAACCTGGGCAGATTTCATGCACCTCATCTGGTGATGTCTAGTGAGTTCCGATGCAGGTAGTCACCATGCTTACTACTTTGATGCAACGCCCTCTCCCCTGCACACCTGAAGTATGTCTGTTTGGTATATTAGGTGCAGAGTGGTGGCCACATTACAAGAGAATATTTCTGAATGTAACTCTGTCTATGGCCCAAAAGTCACAGCCATTGAATAGATGAACCCGTCCCCTCCTATCGTAGCTCAGTGGAAATCATTAAATCAATCAGATCATTGCATAAGAAAAAGTGATGTATGGGAAGAAAAACTGAGAAACTGTAAAATTTGGGACTTTTGGTGCAACTCTACTCACTCAGGATAACTACTTACACATATTTACCTCTTTGCATTATATGTCTTATGATACATGTATGCAATACAGATGCATGAGAAATTGTCAACTGTTTTTTTTCTCTGTTGCATAACTGTATCCAGATAATTCCGCATATTAATTTGCTTCCATACTTGTGTCAAAATCAATGAATCACACAATACAATTCAGGGATGCCCTACAATAAACCCCAAAACCTAATCAATAGGCTTATAGAATCCATAATACATTTAGTGCTCGTTGCAAATTTCATATTACACTGCATAGGATATTTGTGCAAACAATGGTTTCTGCTGAAAACGCTATACAATCCGGAGTATCTGGTGTGCAAAGTTTTGCACAAATATTATTCCTGTTCCAAAAGCCTAAAATAAATCTAACAGATTCCTCCATCCACACTAAACCTTGGATGGAAGAATTTCATCTATTGTACGATATAAACCTGCTGCTGTCAGAATACCTGAACAATGACTGCAGCTGACTGGCAATTTATGACCGAAGGCTGCCAACAGGGCCACCCATGGGGTGAATTTTGTCCGGTTCATCAAAAACCATCAGAAATTCACTCAGTGTACAGCCAGCTTTAGAGTGCTGGGCAAAGACATCTGATTGGTATCCCAGAGACTGTATAAAAGAGTTGATTTGCAGCTCACATTCAGCCTCAGTGGGAGGCTTTAGTGAAACAAATCAAAGAACAAGGTGACTGGAGAAGACGATGGCCAGAAGTTTTAAATTCCAGTAACGTTAGAATACAATAGTAGCTCAAAGTGATGACTGTCACAAGCATCTAGTATTTTTGCTGTATTAAAATGGGGGTTAAAATTAAAGTGACACTAAACTCAGGGGGTAAACCTAAAAAATACATTCAAGTACCTAAAATATGAACAAAAAACGTATCTTTTTTGTGCATCACTCGGTTGCAGATCCTCAAATCATCTCTGAATTGGTGCTGGCACTGTCCTTCCTTCTGGACGGTGGTTACTTGTGTTCCCCATGGTGCCTGTGTGTTGTAAAGTAGCAACCGCTACAAGCTTGCTCCTGTGATAGACTACAATCTCATGTTTAGTTTACTCATTTGTATTGAGATTGTAGCCCATCATGGGAGTGAGCTTGGAGTGGTGGCTACTTTACAACACACACACAAAAACACAAAAGTTCACAAAAACAACAAAAAGTAGTCACCCTCCAGAAGGAAGGACAGTGCCAGCACCAATTCAGAGATGATTTGTGCATCTACAGCCAAGTGATATTTAACTCTTGAGTTTAGGTGTCACTTTAAGCACAAACATGCTTTAAATTGTAGTACCATATATTACCTGACAGTAGGTGCAGTAATAATGCCTATGAAGAGAATTCTGCACCAACTCAGGGGGTGACTTGCTGGGAACACAAAGATATGCTTTAAGAAGAATGTATTCAGTTCAGTCAGCTAGAAAAAAAAAAGAAGAGGAAATATTCAATTTATTTGTGGCACTAAACAAAATGTATATGGTAAAAGTATGTCAAAGGACAAATATCAAAGAAACTGTGCTGCCACTGTGTCTAGATTTTAATGTTATCACCTGTTTGTATAGAATTATTTGAGTGACATTTAATTTGCTAAAAGAACTGTTTATCATAAAAAATAAAAAAAAAAGCCATGTTTTTCGGTTTTCTTAAAATGCAGTTTTAACCTATTTTTCATCATCTTTTGCAACTCGCCCGGCCAGTTATGGTACTTCCTGTCTAGATGCACCATTATCCTGGACCAGTGGACCATGTCTGTGTAACGTGGCATGTAGTCTCAATCAGTGGCTCCTGTGACAGGGTAACAATGCACAAACACAACTGAGCGACAGCCGGCACCCTACAACAGCTAGTTACTTAACAAGGGCCTTCATGGTAGGATATTAAAGGATATCCTTTAATAAAAGCTGTAGTTTTAAAAAGATTGAATTAAAATATTAGCATGTCAAAACATAGTTAAATTTTAGTGATTGGGTTTGGATCTACTATTATTATTATAATAATACAGGATTTATATAGCGCCAACAGTTTGTGCAGTGCTTTAGAAATATAAGGAAGACATTACAATCACAATACAATTCAAGACAAGATGGTAAGGGGGGCCCTGCCCCTGAGGGCTTGCAATCTAAAAGGGAGGGGGAAGTGATACATGAGGAGGTAGCTGTGTGGGGATTAATTGTTTTAAGTCTTTAGGGAAAGCCTAAAGGCAGTCAAGGTGGGAGACAGACGGACAGGTTGGGGAAAAGAGTTCCAGAGGATAGGAGAGACTTTGCAGAAGTCATGGAGGAGAGCATGGGAGGAGTTGACAAGGGAGCTGGAAAGCAGGAGGTCATGGGATGAGCGGAGCGGACGGTTGGGGTGATACTTTGAGACAAGGTTTGAGCTATAGCCAGGAGCAGAGTTGTGGATGGCTTTGTAAGTGATTGTTAATATTTTGAATTTTATCCTTAGGGCGAGTGGAAGCCAGTGGAGGGATTGACAGAGGGGGGTTGCAGACACTGAGCGGTTGGTTAGGTGGATGAGTCTAGCAGCTGCTATAAGCAGGTCTTATGTTACAGAACATTCAGCAGTGGTACCATACAAGGAAGGCACATGACCTCATTACCAGACACAGGTGCTAAGACCAAGCAGGGTCCATTTACTCTCTGGGAATCCAGATACACAAGTACAATAAGCTGCACACTGAAAGAAAAAAAAGATTTGACGGAAGTGCAGCTTATTGTACTTGCAGGTCCTATTTTACCTTATGTATACAGCTGCTTCTAAATTTCCCCTTACTTTTCTTTGCTTATGCTCAATAGTGGAAACAGGGCCATAAGACTGATCAAATGTGTACACGGGGGACAGGAAGACATGCTCAAAGATCATAGGTTGGCTTCAGATTCTCCTGTCTCTTGCTTGTACCATGTAGTAAATATCAAATACCCATTGTCCCAGTAGATCTACGGTCCAAACAGTCTAGTGATAGCTGCACTTCAATCTAGTGCATGTAGGTGGAGAAATTACAATGACGCAGTAGACAGCAAAAAATAGTCCCGAGTCCCATGTTACTAAAAATTGTTTGGTAGGGCAGGCAGAGATAGAGAGCGAAAATGCAAGAGAGAAATGTTTGATAAAGTAACGCTGACAAAGACATTACACTAAATGGCCAAATAATTGTGAACCTGACCATCACATCTATATGAGCCTGTTGGACATCCCACTCCCAATGACCATTAATATTGAGCTGGTACCACCTATAATAGCCTTAAATCATTCTGGAAAGACTTTCAACAAGATTTTAAGGCGCGTCTGTGGAAATTTGTGCATTTAGCATCAGGTACTGATGTAAGAAAAGAAGACCTGGTTTGCAATCGGTGTTAAAATTCATACGAAAGGTGTCCAAAAGGGTTGGGGTCAGTACTCTGTGCTGGCCACTTCAGTTCCTACACACTAAACTCAACCCACGTCTTTATGGAGCTGATTTTGTGCATCTGAACTCCGTTATGTGAAGCAGAGTCCATACTTTCGCCATATAACGTACAGAAATAGATTAGCCATCCGACTCAATGTTCAATGTAGGAGTATTCTTTCCCAATCAAGAAAATGTAAAGAAATAGAAATGTAACCTCACACTGATATTTTGCAGAACATACGGCACTGAATAGAGGGTAGTAACCATATTGCTCCACGTTGGCTGGAACGTCGTAGCACGGCCAACACAAAGTAAAACATCTTATCTATGGTTGGAAAAAAGGAACATTTGCCTATTTCTAGATTTGCATCAACTTAAGTCTGTTAGTGTACAACCTACCTGCCAAATGATCATGAAGAGATATACCCCAGCTACTCTCTGAAATGAAGATTTAGGGTCAAACCATCGCACATAGATCCAGCTTGCTGGGGTAAACTGCAGCATTGCTCTCTTGATTTTTCCTGTAGTCGAGTGAATGTCTCTGTATAAGGGTTAAAAAACAAAAATTACATACAGAAATAATGCAGACTTTTTGTTGCAATGTGAAGAACAAAAAAAAAAAAAAAAAGTAATATAAAGTAAATATTCTACGGGACCAGAGAATAAATATTTACTGACCAAGATCGTGTGCACATGAAAGTCAAAAGGGGCTGCCTGCTGAACACGCTCTGACACCGAGGTTAAAAGAGGTGTACCGAGGTGAAAACATCACAAGGGTCCGCCAATACATAGTGTGTTGTGCTCATCTAAAGGTAAGGTGTCTACGGCATATGCATAATCTTACAGTGCATCACTCATTCATTGAAATGGCTGCCTGACTCAGAACAGGTGCAATAACAAGGCTTGCTTACAAGCATCTAGTGCACTCCGAACTGGGTGCTCCTGTATAAGTCCTATAAGACAAAGATTCTAAAAGGCATTTTCAACCTTCAAAATTCATCTAAAGCCAAAACCTTTTTATTCTGGATAGAATAATGGAATGGTTTAACCGTGGTCTGTTTTTTTTTTTGGCACAAATATGCAATTGGGTGGATTTTTCCTTTACTTCTTGTTCTATAGGCACAACAGAAAGTGAGAGGACACCTCTTCAAAGTGAGGACAAACCCCTTTTAGACATATGCCTTTGGAAATAGGAAGATTTCTGTTCTATTCCTCTTTTGGTAACAACTCTGAATACACAGTTCTCTATCTCCTTCAGTCCCAATAACAGTGGTACCCAGGACAAACAAAAAAGTGAATCTTCTTAGTGGTGACACAACTCTATAGAGTTCACCACTCAAAAGAAAAAAAAAAAGATTTTAACAGTAAGGGTAGAAACAGTTTAGATATAAAACCATCTAGTTAACCAATTGCTAGTTGGATAACCAATTGGTTACCCATCTAGTTAACCAATCACCCGATTCCCATGCAGTAAAATACAACATTGTGTGAACCTCACAGCTCCTCGGTCGTTTGGCAAAAATCTGCAAATCTAGCTCTGAAAACCACTGACAAAATTAGGTTACTAATTAGATTCGTTAAAAAAAGTAATCAGTCCAAAACCTGCTAGTACACTGCACGCCTCTACACTGTAAATGGCTAATCAACTGGAAATCCAAAAAGGTGAGCATTAAATATGGATAATGTGGACAGCCTTTGTAGCTTTAACCCTTTCGCTGCCAAGGACGTACGTCGTACGGAGCTACAAAAGTGCTTCCAGCTGGCCAGCTCAGTACGTCGTACGGACCAAGACCTACTTGAAGCTTGCCCAGTAGTAAGACCTCATCTCAAGGAAGCGACAGACCACCATGCCGAGTAGAATCCCACCTCCATTGCATAAAAGGATGTCCAGAATGACTTGGTCCCACCAGCATTCAGCAAAGTTAGGAAGAAGGTGCATAAAGAATAGCTGAGGGGGGGGAAGATGAAAAAGCATGATGGATTAGTATGGAAAAAAACCAGCTAACAGGATGCACATAAAAGGCCAAATGTCTCAGATGACCTGTTAGTGGTCTCCTGCTGCTTTATACACTGTGGAAACTGTACAGAGAAGCAAAAGTAGCCATCCCAGGAAGGTCTCCTTGGGGAGGTACTCCCAGCCCAGCCTTAGATTGCCAGGGCCATAACAATTAAAATTAGTTAAAGTGACAGTAAACTGGAGTTAAATCTTAAAAATATATTCAAGTACCTTAACTATTAACAAAATGTATCTTATTTGTGTATCACTCAGCTATAGATCCTCAAATCATCTCTGAATTGGTGCTGACACTGTCCTTCCTACTGGAGGGGGGCTACTTTTGTTCCCCATGGTCCCTGTGTGTGTTGTAAAGTAGCCACCACTCCAAGTACACTCCCGTGATGGACTGCAATCTCACTTTTGTTTACTAATTTGTATTGAGATTGTAGCCCATCATGGGAGTGAGCTTGGAGTGGTGATTACAACACACGCAGGGACCATGGAGAACAGAAGTAGCCACCCTCCAGAAGGAAGGACAGTGTCAGCACAAATTCAGAGATGATTTGAGGATCTACAGCCGAGTGATATACAAATTTAGCACAGTATTTTTAATAGTTAAAAAGGTGCTTGAATGCATTTTTAAGGTTTAACCCCTGAGTTTGTCACTTTAACAAGATGACACATTCGTGTAATTTGCAATAGGAAAGTGTACCTAGTATCAGATTATATATAGTTTTTCATGTTTAATACATGCATAAAAGTGTATCACATGTATTTATTACGTGTCAAAATGATTACAGTGCTACTCATAAAAAGATTCCTTCTTGTATCCCCAAAAGGCCAGCATTACAGTATCTATGTTCAGACAGCATCCATCCAGGTCAGCATCTTTTTCTGTGATTAGGTACACGTCTGACACAGTTTAGCCCTCTGCCCCCTTCTCTCAGCCTAACAGTATCATGCTAGATTAGGATTTGAGGGTTCTGTGAATGCAGATTTTTTTTCATAGGTTCAACTTGATGGGTCTATGTGTTCAACTTAACCGGCATACATCTTCTTTTAACTTATGTAATCTGTGACCAGCCAGAATGAAAATTCATCACTCTCACATACTCAAGGTCTGTGCTACCCCCTGTGATCAGAGTAAATATCCTTTACCCTTACAACCTGCCTGTCATCCTGTGACATGCTAGTGAAAAAGTTTATTACATTTGCAAAGCTCGATCCCCCCGCTATCTTTCATCCCGTGACTGGGCAGTGTAAAAAACCATCAGTCTCAAAACACATTAGCCCCATCTGCCCCCCTCCATCTTCACACACTCACACACACCATGGAATTAATGAAACCTCTACCCTATTTAGTGAGGACAAGAAAGTGAGGAGGTTAAGGGAAATGTTTCCTCCAGCTTATAGCAGACTTAATGACAGAATTCTCCCAGGCCTCGCAAGCCTGTGTATAGGCAATAGTCAGTTGGTGGCAATGTTGTTTTCTGGGTATTGGTTTTCCTATTAAAACTGTTACGTTTGTATATTGTGACATGTTAGGAATTTAATCATGCAGACACATACCTCTGTCACCTCCCAAGTGATGCTAATGGTCCAGCACAGACCATAGCTACGGATCAGCAAAGCCTTCATGGCCCAGCCCCAGAAATGACCAAATGCAAATATGTCAAAATGACTAAGTATCCGTTCCCAGGTGATTACATGGCAATTCACTGCATATTCCTGCAAGACAGAAAACAAACTGACTACATCACTTTCCATTCAAAAATAAATAAAAATAACTTTGAATGATACAAATAACTTTGAATGATACAAATATTAAGAAATTTATGGACAATGGATCAGAAAACTGTTCAGTCAAGCTGCCATTGGATTTCTGACACTTCCCGAGTTATAAATTCTAAACCTGAAGGTAAAAGTATGCACGCGAGGGGCAGCACGTCTTCACACTGGCCGATTCTCATATGGAACGTCATTCAAACACCACTGTGTGCACGAAAACTAATAACTGGGTCACTGCCAGGAAGCAAACCACCTGTGTGACTGGGCCCTGATGGAAACTGCTTTTCTGACTTCTGTGCCGCAAAATAACTCTTCAGCATTAAAAACCAATTCACTGAGTCACTGCCCTAGAACTGCTATGTGGCATTGGAGTCTTCTTCCGTGATCACACAGGTGTTCTGATTTGTCACAGAGCTCCTTCAATTGAACCTACCGAACATTCTTCACCAGAGTTCTTCTAGAGAAAGCAGAACTCTATTAATAGATATTTAGCATCTACAACTTTAATATCATCCGTTACGGTCTTAAGAATGTACTGCTAAGGTATAAGCAATGGCATCTCCGGTAATAGAAATTTCAACCTGTAAATCCTAATCTGCTGAAAAGGTAACGTATCAGGCTAGAAATATGGGAGCTGCCATTGTTATCTGCTATTGAAGGTACATGCTCCTTGGCTTTAATGCCAGCCCCGCTCCCTTCGCCATTCTCCCCTAGGTGAGAATTATATGCCCTACTACAGCAGCCTCCAAGGATATGCCCAACATATATGCCAGGAGGCTTCAGGAGTAGGGACACAGAGCAGTCAGTGGCAGAGATGCCTGTGCCATTGGGGACTGGATGCCTGTACACGAAGAGGCAGCCAGCTCCCGATGACCTGAGGAGCGCCAAGGTGGTGGCCTGGGACCCCTGCTGTGCCACCTGAACAGCAGCTTGTGGTGGAACAATGCCATCTCCCTTTTTTAAGCTGAACTCTAGGAAGAAATAAAAAAACACAAATAAATCCAGCTTTGTTATTATTACATCTTTAAATGTATTTTGTAAATGCAAGCAGTGCAAGTGCCTGAATCTGATCTGGTGTCAGCCTCTTGCAATCAATGCACAGCAACGCTGGAGTTTAAGAGGTAGAAGCAGCACACGGAGCCAATCAGTTCATGTGCTGACAAGAAGCAAGCTGATAGGAGGAGAAAGCAGAGTGACATAGATATAAGCTCATCACTGTGCTGTTTCTCCTTTCACAGGCTGGGGGCAGGTCCAGGTTGACCTGGGCTCAGAAGAAAGGGGCTGAAAGATGTTGGCCATCAGACTAAGGACGTCTAGCAGTTGTAAAACCTGCTGTAGGGGAAATCTCTGCAGCAAAAGCAGGCTTTGTTATTTTATCTTTTAATGGCCTATTCATTTTGATCTTAATATTTTTGTCTGGAGTTCTGCTTCAAGCAGTAAAATAAGAAAAAGTAACTGTAATTACCATAATGTCAGATTCCCTTGTCGCATAGCGAAGATTGGGGTCCAGCCAATACATGACCGCTTTCACCTGCTCGGAGTTCAGGAAGAGCAAAAATACCAAAAACAGGAAATAGAGGACACTGAGGCCTGAAAGACAACGACAAGCATTACATGTATCATGTGCAATGTTGCAGAGTGAGGAAACAAACTATTTTTTTAGTTCAACTATAACAGGACAACCAAAGAGATGACATTTAATGCAGGTCAGTAGGTGGTCAATTAAAGGTCAAATGCACTTGTCCAAGAATTCTGTATGATCTCTGAAGACTCTCAAATTGATGCCATCAACATAAGGTCAAACCCATCGACACAGACTTACATGGCGAGGAGCTGGTGGTGATGGGGGTGTGGAGTGGTGCCCAGAGAACAGCTTTAAATGTATTTCCTTTAAAAGTCAGTCAGTGCAACTCTATAGTCAATAAATTCAAGATACATTTGGTCTTAAAGTACAGTAGGTTCTTGACCTTGGTGCCATACAGCTGCTTTAGGCCTTGAAGACATGCAAGGGACATGAGGGTACTTGGCTCAGCAGAAAGAAGCGGCAAGCTTCCGTTGTGTGTAGAACTTCTAAGAACATTGTGTCATTTAGAGCTATTAAAACCCAACTCTAGGAAAATGAAGTTTTCCTTTGCAGTGGGGCTGGCCTTACACTGCACAAATGTGTTGCTCATTTAGCCTAGTGGAAGGGAAAAGGCTGTTTCACTTACCTGATCCCCACTTCCACCAGCTCCTTCTGGGCTGCTTGATTGGTCCCCGCAGCCTCCACGCCAGTGGTCTAAGGACAGCTAACATCATCACCTACAATATAGGCTCAATAGCCCTACATTGGCTTGTGGACTGTCCCTCAGCGTCCTCACATACAAAGTGGAGGGGGAGCAGAGGAGAGATCAGGTAAGTAAAACAGCCTTTTCCTGTCCCCTAGGCATAAGCAAGCAGTTAACCGTTGCAGTGCACACATGCATGTGGCCCAGTGGAAGAGGTAAGTCTTGCATTGAAGCAACGCAAATACATTTATTGGTCTAGTATAATAGATTTATTGTGATGTATTTAATTATTCTCTAGATTTAGATTTGTTTATTTCTTCACTGAGATGTACAAGTCCCTCTAATAGGTGTCCTGCCACACTTCTGTTAAAGTGACCATGGATGGGGCTGCGCAGATCACCAGCACACCATAGGAATGTGTCCAAACAAAGGTCTTTGTTGATGCATATTGTAACAGATAAAGCAACGTTTTAAGATCTCCTGCATCAAGCTCAGTCAGGGGACCCTACGTCGCCCCGAAATGTTGCTTTATCTGTGACAATATGCTTTAATAAATACCTTGGTTTGGAGACATTCGTCTGGTGAACTGGTGACATCTTGTTCGTCTGATCTTCAGCACCCATCTTCCAGGGGGTTTCCAGTAAGAAGTGTGGCAGGACACCTATTGGGACTTGCAGATCTCGATGGAGCACAACTGCTGTGACATCACTTTTAGTTCATTCATATTGCCCTCCCATCCTTAGCTGAAAATCTGTACCTCAGTACTGACAGGGACGGGAGGAAGAGTCAGCAGGAGCCAGAGCATTGCACTTCCAATCCACTGAAGGTGGTCGCAATACTTTGCAGGTAAAATGCAATAATACGTGAGCATTTATTATCACACACAGAATGGGTTGTAAAAAAAAAAAATGTTTTTTAAACTCCAAATACACGGATTTTAAATTCCAGGTTGTAACAAAACAAAATCTGGTTAAAGTCCAAAAGCGAGTAAAAATATATTTATGCAAGAAAAAAACCCCCAAAAAGCCTATTTTCACAGTTGGAAGAGCAAATAAATATCTCAGTCAAAGCAAGGAGAATTAAATGTGTGAAAACCCAGTTCCCAGCGCTCTGATCTACTAGCACACCTTCAGACTGTGACATATATCTCAGCAGATCTCACTGCGAGTAGTGGACGCTGGGACTCAGCGAGACTCCGGTGCATACACCGCCTCTAATCAGATGTTTAACATTCAGATGTGCTGTCGGGAGGTTACCTAGGAACTGGAGAGTCAGCCGCAAACAATGGCAGTTTGGCATGCCTTGATTAAAACGAGTCCCTCATCTCTAAAATATTCATGAAAAGGAAGAGATTCGGGTGTCATTTCGGGACGCTGCAAATGGTGTATGAAGGAAGATGTCATTCCTGAAGAATGTTTGATTCCACTTGTGAAGTACATTGTTTGGCTTGTTGGGAAAGTTCTATAGGAATCAGTAGTCAACAAGATTACGGCTCAGCTCCAGCCAAAACCTCTCTTTCCCTTTAGACAAAGTGGGGAAGGGTTAAACGTTCCTTAGGCTGGCTGGAAAAGTCCTATAGAAATTAGAAGGCAACCATAGTAAAGGGTAAGTGCACCTTAAAACAAAGTGCATTTATCCCTATTGCTCGCCACCCCCTGACCTAAACGATCCCACCCTGCCGCTCCGCAGATCCGTACTTACTGAGATCCGTGGGGCATGGTTTAGCTTTTGTTTACATGCAGTGCCGCACTTGCTCCCTCTGCTGGCCGCACCTGCACAATGCAGCCCCATAGATTTCTATTGGGCTGTCTCCCAGCCTACAGATGGATATGAGCAGGTGAGGGAAAACTTACAGCTCTGCGTGTCAAAAGAGAAGCAGCAGCCCTCGGTAAGCATAGGTCTGTGGGAGGTGGACAGTGGCATTGTTTAGATCAGAGGAAGGGGGAGGCTAAAAGAATACCCAAACAGTGAAAGCATCTGAATGGTTGAAGTTACTGGTTTGGCTAACAAATTTTGGCCTGGCTCCTTGGACAAAAAGGTTAATTGAAAAATCCACTGTTCTCACTTGGAGTGGTGACAACAGGGCCACCCACATCTCCAATTTCAGCCCAGTCAGCAGGACTCGGTCAAAATATGAGTGTATGGCCAGCTTAAGGCAGTGCTACCTCTGACTGCTAGTCTGAGGAGATCTGATGGAGGATTTAGTGATGTCATTTATGTGCTGCTCACTGTTTTCCTGGCTGGAGGCTCTGGCATGACCAAGATGGCCTCCTACACACAAAGCCACTGCAGAACAAGGCATGGCAAGTCAGTAATAGGGAAAGATCAGCTGCAGGGAGATCCCAGGCAATACGGTTGGCTTTTCCTTTGTCCTCAGTTGACCGATTTGTGGGAAGAGCTTCCAGAGTTTAGTTTCTCTTTAAAAGGTCCTGCTTACAGGTATTCTCAGTCTTCCTACTAAAAACTTAATGGCAAAAAAGGTAACTCACAAATCCCCCCGTAAAGTCACTTACATTCAAATTGCCTTTGGAAGCGATTATACCCTATATATCTCTTATATATAAGAAAATGCTGAACCTATCCAAAGAAGATAAATATTCACTTACCAAACACCATCCTCCATATCGCAGGGTGCGGCCTTGTGAAGGGACCTACAACAATAAACAACAGTTAAAGAGGAAATGCCTAAAGACAATTGCCAGCAGTATATATGTATTGAAGGTATTTATACAAGTGAAACAAATGGATTGTGTGCATTATAGGGGAAGCATACCAGCTTTCTTTCACTCATGGGTAGTGTTTGGCTGAAGCCATTTATTATCAATCAACTGCGTTTACTCTTTTTCAAATCATAATGACAACAGAAACTACCCAAATGACCCGGATCAAAAGTTTACATACCCCAGTTCTTAATACGGTGTGTTGCCCCCTTTAACATCAATGACAGCTTGAAGTCTTTTGTGGTATGCGTGGATGAGGTTGTTTATCTTCTCAGATGGTAAAGCTGCCCATTCTTCCTGGCAAAAAGCCTCCAGCCCAAATTTTTGGGTTGTCTTGCATGAAATGCATGTTTGTGATGATGATATTGAGGTCAGCAGACTGAGATGGCCACTCCAGAACCTTTACTTTATTCTGCTGTAGCCAATGACTGGTCGACTTGGCCTTGTGTTTAGGATCATTGTCATGTTGGAATGTCCAAGTACGTCCCATGCGCAGCTTCCGGGCTGATGCATGCAAATTGTCCTCCAGTATCTTTTGATAACATACTGCATTCGTCGTGCCATCAATTCTGACCAACTTTCCTGTGCCTTTTGTAGCTCACACATAATGACAATTATTTTGCTTTCCCCATAACTCAGAACCCAGACACGTCAGTGCAGCACTGGATGAAGGATGCAAGGGTCTGTCAGGAGGCCAGAAACGAATTGGCCTTTTATACACACACACTGATTACATGCAAACAGATCACAGGTGAGGATGGTTCCCTTTGATAGCCATTCACACCCCTTTGTGCCAAAATCACCAGGGTATGTAAACCTTTGATCAGGGTCATTTGGGTAGTTTCTGTTGTCATTATGATTGGAAAAGAGTAAACACAGTTGATTGATAATAAATGGCTTCAGCCACACACTACCCATGAGTGACAGAAAGGTTTTCGTATTATCATTCATATTTTCTGAAAAATGGCCAGGAAATCATAAATTCTGCCAGGGTATGTAAATATATATATATATATATATACTGTTTTACTCAAAGATTATGGGGGGAATTTATCAAAACTGGAGCAGAGTCTGGAGCAGATGCCCATGGCAACCAATCAGCTTCTCTCTTCAGTTTGCTCAGGTAAGATTTGAAAATGAGAGAGAGAAGCTGATTGGTTGCACTGCAAACCTGCTCCAGATTTTGTTTGCTGCAGTTTTGATAAATTCCCCCCTCTGTATTTCTGCCCATCCAGTCGTGAGATTTACATAAGCACAGCCCTGTTAAGTAGGGTAGGAACTCGAGGCGTGTCCAGTTGCTCAGCCGCTACGAGTGCTGAATTAGCAAACCTCCACTGAACGCTGTGCTGCTAACTTAGCACTCGCAGTGGAAGTGAATGCGAATGCAGAGTGCCGAGTGTGATGGAGAAGGTGGGGACAGAGCACCAGTGGCCATTTTAACTGTGGGCACACCTGGCACCGCTGGTTGCCTGAACCCCGATGGAGGAAATCAATTCGGTGTAAGAACCTACAATTTAATGTTTTTTCTGGACAAGCACACCAAAAATTAGTTGGAAAAATTGTATTAGCCAAAAATATTATCCTCCGCCATTTTGCTTAGCACTGTGCAGCCGACGTGTTCAGTGAAATTGCAGCAGCGAACTGAAGTGCTGCAGAACATCTACTCAGCGCTTGGCTAAGGAACTGAATACGCCTCTGATCTTTCTCTGCTGCAGTTTCACTTACAGGTCTCCTCCCTAGCATATGACTGGGCAGTGAAAAGGTGAAGCAGCCTAACAGCATGCTTCTTGCACTGCAGCACAATTGACTGGCTCCTTGTGCTGCTTCTCCTTCCCTCCCTCTGAGCTCTTCCGTACAGTAGACTGCATGAGGCTATTATCAGGTACATACACTGCTTGCATTACAAATTCATTTCAATGATGAATCAGAATGCCGGGTGCTACGTCATTGCACGCTACCCGGCTTCCTGATTGGCCGGGAAGTCGGCTCCATGCTCTCTCATCACAAGTGACGAGAGAGCATGGAGCCGTTTCCTAGCCAATCAGGAAACCGGGCAGCGTGTAATGATCTGCTGCCCGGCTTCCTTATACAGGAAGTACTCGTGCTAGGTATCGGAGCATTTGGGCGAGTACGAGTACTCACCCAAATACTTGGTATCGGCACCGATACTAGTATCGGTGCATCCCTATTAAATACAGATCTGCATTAATGTGTCATTTGTGCTTTTTATGAATATCTGCCTGGGGTTTAGCTGTATGTATATATAAAACAAGGAATATTAATATTTCGAATTTTCATTTTCCGTGAACAAGTGCAGCTCCGTTCCTATTTTATCATTTAATATTAGGGGAACGTTTTAATTTTTTTACATTTCGGTAATTTTTCCTTAATATAGTTTTAAAAAAAACCCGCAGTGGTGATTAAATACCACCAAAAGAAAGCTCTATCTGTCCACAAAATTTTTTTATAAAATTCATTTCAGTACAGCGCTGTATGACGGAATAAATATTTGGGCGAGTACGAGTACTCACCCAAATACTTGGTATCGGCACCGATACTAGTATCGGTGCATCCCTATTAAATACAGATCTGCATTAATGTGTCATTTGTGCTTTTTATGAATATCTGCCTGGGGTTTAGCTGTATGTATATATAAAACAAGGAATATTAATATTTCGAATTTTCATTTTCCGTGAACAAGTGCAGCTCCGTTCCTTATCTTTGCATTTTTCTCCTTAGCTCAGTTTAAAATAAGCGAGTTCAATAGCTCAAGATAACATTTACATATTCAGGTATACGAGTCAGAGCAGTGACTCCTCTCTGCTAAGAATAGATCTAACCCGAGGGAGAGGGCGCCTCTGCAACTGGTGTCATTTACCTGACTGTGCAAATCTCGGGAATGGATGGACAGCAACAAATCATATGGTAAGTAATATAGCTCCTATATATGCATTTCATCTGTGTATTTAGCTGTTTGCATGGAGTTCAGCATTAACTTGTTGCCGGCTGTTTTTGTATTTTTACACTGTGGGCTGGAGGTTTATACGCAGTGACAACAATTTACAACCAGATGTTGGATTTCATTGAGAATCTGGATAAAATACCTTACCATTCGGAAATGCTAAGACGCTGATGATTAAAAAGAAGAAAATGACTGAAAGGATTCCTCTCCAAATATTGTCTTCTTGGCTTGTGTTCTCCCTACAACACAGAAAAAAGCACGCGGTTAATTATTCATACTTTTGGTGTACGCATTCTGTTCAATATAGCTGTTTTTGTATTCCAAGTCAAAGGATGCCGACACCAGAAGTACGTTGGTTAGTGTACGGACCTGGAGGAACACCAAGCCAATTCAGAAATCTATTGAGTGATGTTATGATGAGTTATCAGGACTGTGCCCGGAGCTGGGCTTTAACATCAATGAGTACCGACTTTTCTTTATGTTGACCATTGGCTAATCGGAGCGGATTTATAAATGTATTCTGAGAAGTGTTAGTGACTGTTTTGTTACAACAGGAGATACTAAAAGTAAAGTGATATTAAAGTCAAAAGGTTTTTAAGTGATTTCAAATGCTGAAATCCCTTACAATGGAGGCCGCTCCTTGATGTTTGAAAGTTTTCGCTTTCTGTGGAATCATCTAGTCCTCTGTGCATTAGCCCCGATTTCCTGTTTCCTTGTAGGGTCCTATGGAGCCACCCTTATGTGTGCTACTATGCCGTGTCTCTACAAACACACAGGAACAGCAAGGGAAACCACTCCGCTTTCCCTGGGCCCCTCTCTTCCTTCCTCCCTTCTCTAAGCTACAAGGTTAATGGATGCTGGAGAATTTTGAGCTTGGGCTGGACAGGAGGTTCAGGGAAGCCGAGCTGAGAGGGTTGGAGCTGACGGTTTGGAAACATGACGACTAAGTGCTTCAGCAAAAATTTTGTAGGTCCTGCAACAGTTGCGCAAATTTCTACTAAATTTAAAAAGCTAAAACTGTATGGAGTTAATAAATGTTTGTAAATATTATATTGCGCCTTTTTGAGAAACGGCAAAAAAACGGAGGAACACAAAACTGTTAAATAAGCGACTTCTACAAAAAATCTGGAGGCTGGCCTCACGCTTAAGGCCCCATTCACACTGAGCGATTTATCGTGCGATTTTTGCAGCGATTTCGCTCACTTCAAGTGGTTAACTTGTAAAACTTCCCGTCAAACATTTCCACAACCAAAAATTCATGAAGGCAAAAAAAAAAAAAAATCTGCTAATCAGCCAGTTACATACTTGGACAGATTATAGGGCTTTCTACCTGCCAGTGACTGCAACCAAATATTTTAAGCTTCTTATTCTTGAATAAAAAAAAAAGAAATGAGTCTACACTTCTCACGACCAGCTTTCATACTGAGCAGGACTCTATATAATAAAAGATACTACTACATAATATATACATACATATACACACACACGGATCTCCAAATAAATCTAAAATCAATCTGTATCTCCAAAAATGTAAAAGTTAAAAACAGGAAATTAATCATTTAAAAAGGAGAACTATGGGGTCAGTGTTTTTCCCCATAGTTCTCCTTAGGGTAATGGGAGGACACAAACTAGCGTCCTCCCGTTACCCTAAGCTCAGTATACCGCGAGCTACAGCTCGCGGTATACTGAGACGCCGCAGCGGATCCCGACTTAGATGACGGGATCCGCCCAGCTGCGTGAGTGACAGCTGGCTCTGCCTATCTAGTGGCAGAGCCAGCTGTACCCGCCCCCTCCCCCGTCCGTTCCGCCAGTCAGCGCTGGCAGATCGGAGCGGGGAGAGGGGAATCCAGCCCCCCCCCCCGTCCCGCCAGCGCGCCGCGACAGGACACAGAGGCGAGCGAACCCGGTATGTGTTCGCTCACCTCCCGATCTACTGAGCCGACCTGTGACAGTCTCATTGTCACAGGTCGGCTAGAACTATGAGGTAAGTGAAAAGCACTCACCTCATAGTTCTCCTTTAAAGATCATGCCAATGATGATAATGTTCAAAGTGCAATACCAACAGCAATCTGATTTCTGGCTTTACGTCTCTAGAACGATTGGTTACCTATAAACATTAAAGAACTTGGTGAATTAAAAAACAAAATGGACCCTTGCAGTGGGGCTACACCTGCACTGCAGGAATTAGGTGATTGTTTTGTCTAGGGGGGATCAGATAAAGCAGATATAGTCACCTGGTCCTACGGGGCTGCTAGACTGGTCCCCACAGCCTCTTTTCCCCTGGTCTTCAGCAGTCTAAGGACCACTGACATTATCACCTCTTATCCACGTCCACTAACCTGCATTAGACGTTGGAACGTCAAGGACGCACCACAGCCGAAATGGAGGGGGAGAGAGGTGAGCGCTGACTGTCAGGAGACCCAAGATCAGGTGAATATATCTGCTTTATGTAAGCCTCCTAGACATAACAAGCACTCAACCCTTCCAGTGTGGGGGTAACCTCACTGCAAAGGTGCGTTTTTTTCATACCCGGAGTCCTTTAAATTTAATGCATAGAAAAAAAACAAATGATTTTTAATCATTTTTGGATGAAGTCGGTAAGAAATAGAACCTTTGTCAAGTTTTTATTGCTGTCCCCACTGGGGAGATTAAGCCTCACTATTTGTCATCGTCACCACTGCCACAATAGCAGAGTCCAGCAGAAACTATCAGTTTATCGACAGCTGTCTAAGAGAGGTATCTGAGATTTCCTCTTACTTCTTGAGGAGTCTCTGGGACAGGAAGTGAAGTGAAATTTTCCCTACTGGATAGGGACAGCAAAAAATAAAGTGACAGGTTTTAACCTTCCACTAAACTCTATCCAAAATGAAAGAAATTATTTTGATTATACAAATGCTGTAAAGAAACAGGTAATTCTAAAACAAAATATTTGCTTGCCTCAAAAAGACTAATTCACATGAAGCATCTTTCGTAGACAAACATCACCAAGATGGGCCAGTGCTGCGACTGTCAGTGGTCGGAATGCACTGACACTGTTCTTTCGGTATCGAGCAGAGATATTTTTTTTTCGCTACTCGCCGATACTGAATGAATATCGATATCAGAAGTCCTATTAAAAGGAGAACTATGAGATGAGTGATTTCCACTCACCTCATAGTTCTAGCAGATAGCGTCTGGTCTGCAGTGCCATTGGTGCACTGCGTTGGTGTGTGTTGCAATAAAGTGAAGCAGGCATGCATGAAATTGCAAAGCAGCGTATGAATGCATCACAATGCTTTGCCATCACGATTCCGTGATTGCGCAGCCATCCGCACGGTCACGGATCGCCCAAGTGTTAACCTGGCCTAAGGCATATTGAGCTGGCCAGCTGGGAAATTTTTTTTTGGCAGTCTGCCTTATGTCGGTGGCAGGAAAAGGGTTAATACTACTTTAACCAGTTGCTGTTGAAAAAAACCGGACGGACGGCACAGCTGCATTGGCGGGTTGCCGTCTCCAGACGGCATTTTTTTCCTGCGCACACGCAGAAAAACCCCATCCAATGTAGGGCTGCAACAACTAATCGACATAATCGATTATAATCGATTATTGAAAAAGTTGTCAACTTTTTCAATAATCGATTAATCGGCTTCCGATCAGTTGGATGGGCTTCCGCTGAACGCAATGCTGAACGTGCAGTGTGCGCACACCGGCCCGTTCGGAAGTTGCCGAACAAGCAGGTTTTCAAGCCTGCTTGTTCGACGGAAGACGTGCGACCGTACAGTAGAAACGGTCGCACGCCTTCCATACACTTTGCGATCGTACAATTGCGGGATTTCCCGCAATTCTCGTGCGATAATCGCACAGTGTATGGGCACCTTTAGAAATACATCCCAGTACCCTGTTAACAGTATGGCTAACTAATCGATTTTGCAAATAATCGTTAGCTGCCGCTCTAATCCAATGCAAAGAGCCGTTACCGGCTGTTTCACATATACACGATCAGCAGCTCTATAGCCTGCCGATCGTGAATATGTGCTGGCTGCGTGTCCCCCCCTCGACTTCTTCTGCCGCCGCCCCCCCTTCCCTCCTGACCCCTCACCTTCAATCCCAGGATCCGCTCCCCCTTCTGCGGCCCGGGGCCGGCTCGGGAGGGCGATCAGCTCCTTGCTGACCTCCCTCCGTGCTGTGAATGCAGAAGTGATGTGTACTACATCACTTCCACATTCACCTGTCATTCATCTGGCTGCTATAGCCAGAGAAAAGAAGCTGATGAAGCAGATCTCTGCTTCATCAGCTTCTTTTGGAATGTGTAAAGTAGACACTACTCCAAGCTCACTCCTGTGATAGACTACAATCTCAATACAAATTAGTAAACTAAGCATGAGATTATACAGATCTACAGCTGAGTGATACATAAATAAGATACATTTTTGTTAATAGTTCATGTACTTGAATGTATTTTTATGATTTAACTCCTGAGTTTAGGGTCACTTTAAAGAGGACCGCTCATGAATGATAGGAAACTGGATACGGAGCATATAAATAACCCTTTATACATCATCTTCCCTATTCCTTACTCGTATTACTGTGTCCATGTCTGACTCTTCATCCTGAGTCATGGGGTGAAAGGTCACTGTGCATCAGACCAGTGTTGCCCTGTCACATGCAGGACCTCACTCAGTACGATGCAATCAGATTTTTTTTACTATGGTCTGGATGAGTCAGTATGAAACAGCAATTTGGAGAAGTTTAATTGGATCTAAGCAAAAGTAAAGCTGGCCATACACTATTCTATTTTTTTTTAATTCAACCTGTGGGCTGAACGAAAAAAGTAGAATAGATACCTCCATCAATGCTTACTGGATGGATGAGCGCCCGGCTGTTTGCTTTGTATTCTGACAGCGGCTGACAGCCGCTGTTGAATACATGAATGGTGGTTGCAGCTGATTAGCTACAAGCACCATTTGAAGATTTTCCAACCGACTCCTTCAATCTTCTGATCGAGGGATGCTGACCAGCAGGGTGCCGACAGTGGCCACCCATTGTGCGAATTTCAGCCAGGTCTTCATGAAATTCGCATAGTGTATGGCCAGCTAAACATGAGTGTACATTTCTGTGGTTACTATAAGAATATTTAGGTGCATGGAATAATTGTAGCGCATTTCACATTTAAACACCGGATTTTACTAGAGGCGCACCGAAATGGAAATGTCAAAACCAAAACAAAAAAAATTGTCAGGCCGAAACCGAAAATGTTTTA